ATGAACTTCCCCAGATATATCAATATATATATACTTACATATATATATATATATATATGAATAAATGCTGATAAAGGAATGAGCTCACAAAGCAGGTCCACTCCAAATTCGTGAGTGGTGATGTGTTCAAACAGGGCAGTGAGGATGGGCAGCAGAGCCACGGTCACATAGTTGATGCTCTGAGTGACGCTCTTCATCTGCGCACGTGACTGCATGAACTTCCCCAGCTTCAGCATCTCCACCAGCTTCTCCAGGTCCTCGGCTGCATTCTCAAAGAATGACTTGAAGCCGGCTTTGACCAGCTCTGCTCCAGACTTCATCACTGTTCTGGGGGAAGGATGGGACATTGGTCTTAGGGCAAACTGAGCGATGATACTGCTGATAGTAACAAAGTGTACGTACCTGGTGTCCAGTGAGTGGGAGAGGATGTGCAGACAGCTCACCATATTTGCAGAATCACTTCCTGTAATAAAGGTATCATTTATTGTAGATGTCAGACCCAAACCTAAAAGCATCACAGCCATAGAGGTAAAGGTAAGGCCAGCCTTACCAAAGAGAGAAATCCTGTGTCTAACAAGAGCTGCCATCTTACAGAACAGGCTGAAAAAAAGAAGGAAGTAAGGAAAGAACTGAGGAAAAGTAAAGAGAAAAGGAACAAAGTGGACGAATTAAAGGAAAGGTTTAAGTAAGATGAGAGCATGAGAACAATAAAACAGATTAACCGAGTACCTGGTGACCATCTCCTTCTCCTTGTTGGAGGCGCAGCCACAGCTACTCAGGTTCTTACTAGGTGTGGACAGGAAGTAGAGGCAGTGGTTCTTAAACGTTTGATCAATCAATGGTAGCAACACCTAAAGAGGATGGATGTAAATTATTTTATAAACCTGAGAGAAATAAAAACATCAGCGACTCATTTCCAAGAAAACATTCCCAACCTTGGCAAAGAACTTGATTTCCTGGTCGTGAGGTGATTTATCAGTCTTTCCACTGGTGGCCATGGCCTCTGTGTGGACAAAAATACAGAGATGTGAGCAATGGTGTCAGAAGCCATTTGTAATGGGAGGGCACACTGGTGGGGGTGGGGGTCCTCCCCCAGAAATTTTTGAATAAAGTAGATGCCATTTCCTACATTCTGCTGTATTTTAACAGGTTGTTAAACATCTATGTTTACCTCCATAAGTAAACACTTGATTCAACAACTATTTTTAGAACACAGCACAACAAGAAATAGCCTGACCAACAGCACTCCTTGTGTGAATAGAGCACGCTCCGCTTCTCTCACGCATCCTAACACCCCCACCCCGTTCGACACTTTACACTGCGGTAAAGCCTTCCCGGGATATATAAGCCTTACTTTCGCTCAAATCCAGAGTGCTTGATCACAACAACCTTTACAGCTGGGCTGTATTTGCGCTATTGTGTAAGGACCATCGTTTAAAGTCGAATAACGTAAAAAAAAAGATAATTTCACCTAGAATTTCTTACTTTGATTCCACACATTTAAGGCATATTCCTCACCACGTTTGTGTAAATTTCGCTGTGGGGGTTTAAAGACATTTCACCTTTAATGCACTTTAACACAGCATCAGGTCAGCTGTACTACTTGTGTTTATAGGCTAATTAAATTAAAAACAATAACATTAGCACTAGACTTTTTTTGTGTGTTCAACACCACTCATCTAAAGGATGTTTCTCAATAACTTTGAGAACAATAAGTTGTGGGGTTTTAAAGAAATTTCAACTGCAACGCACGTCCACACTATATGTGTTTATAGGCAAATTAAATGATGAACATTACCACAAGATCTAACAAGGTTGAGTCAGGTCATCTGAAAAGAAATTATCCATTAAACAGAGAAACATCCTTTAAATATGTAGAGATGAACACAAGTAAAAAATGTCTAGTAGTAATGTTGTTGTTTTAAATTTAATTTGCCAATAAACACAAGTAGTGCCAACCTGACGCTGTGCGTTGAAATGCATTAAAGCTGAAATGTCTTTAAAAAATAGCTGAATTTCCACAAACTTGGTGAGAATTATGCTTTAAATGTGTGGAATCAAAGTAAGAAACTCTGGGTGAAACGTTGCTTTTCTTGTACGTTCTTTGCCTTTAAACAGCGGCTATACGTTCATACATACTGTACATACAGGGGCCTAAAAAAATCACAGTAATGACACCAATTGGCGATATGCGACTCATTGTGCTGCTGATTATCCATGCTGCTGATTATGCTGCTGATCTCATGCTGCTATATTCATCTGCTCACCACAGACTCATGTTCAGGCTGCTGTTGTTACACCATATTATTTTACATTATTAGTGTTTAGCGTATATCTTAGAGCTTTAAGCATGCCATTTGGCGTTTGTTAATGTATATCTTAGTGCATATCTTAAATCCTTATATACGGCTTCATTTTACACTTTATACTTTTGCTATTTTTGGGTGTAACCAGGACCCTGTGTACATAATTTCGTTCCACCTCATGTACCACATATGATGCAAATGATAATAAATTCAACTTGAACTTGATACACAACGATACAAAAACAGCCCGGCTGTAAAGGTTGTTGTAATCGAGCACTGGATTTGAGTGAGCGTAAAGTTTCTGAATCCAGGGAAGGTTTTACCGCAGATCGACAACTGCCAGCACTAACGTAGCGCTAAGCTAGCGCCCTGACTAGCCAAGTGACCGATGAGAAACCGAATGAATTTGTTCACGGAGAAACAGAAACAGCGCTGGGTGGACTAATATTTCATGGTAAATGTGAGGGGGCCCAAATGAGTTTTTTTTTTTTTAACATATAATTGTTGCTATGCCTATGGCTGTGAGGATGAGAAGAACTTTTTGGACTTTTAGTGCGGCCAACTCACCGAGATGAGCGATGAACTCCTGAGCCGAGTCGACGCATTTCAGCAGCCTCTTGACGAACTTGTAGGCAAAACGTTTTTCCATGGAAGACGAGTCCTGCTCCATGTCCTTCAAACCCCTGAGGAGAGACGCAAACGAGAGGTGACGACGTCTCAGGAAGCTTCTGTCTTTTGTTTTTATTAAATTGACTCATTATTAATACGATGCCACAAATACAAAAGTAAAACAATAAATAAACACAGTCCCTGACTGGAAAAAGATCAGTACAGAACAAAACAAAAACTTAAAGGACCTGCCTCTTTTCAAGTAAAAAAACAACATTATTTAGACTTTTTAACAAATTACACTCATAAAACTAAATCACCTGCAAACAATTTCAGCTTTACATTATACGGAACTACTTTTCATTAAAAATACTTTTAAATTGTATATATTTTGTGATTAGATTATTATTTAGGTTGTAAACACTTGATGGTGACATTAGATGATCTGTGTGGCGTTTAGAAGTCAGTTTTAATTAAATACATGAAGATTTTGAGTAAAGTGTGCAGATAAAAGTGCTTTGTTTACCCCAGATGCGTACCCGTATTTTAGAATTTCATGTCAATATATCAGAAAACTTAACAAGCTCTTAAAACGGCAACATTTGATGTAGTTTAGTTCAGAATATACATTTTTATGTTTTAATTTATAGTGTATAATGAGAAGCTTTAAAGTATTTATGATTAATGTTTGTTTTTTAAATTTTGGTCATAAAGAGCACACAGCTTCTTAAGTACATTAAAAGTAAGTTTACCATTTACCATTTTATGCGTTACTTGGGGTCTGGCTAGAAAGTTCTGTTAGCAACATATCTCATGAACAGCTCGTTGGATTTGTTTGAATCTCACAGAAATTAATCAGACGTATCTTGAGAAATGATTCCCATTTGGAGCCATGTTGGTTCAAGATGGCTGCCACAGCCACCTCAGAAAACACAAAATTGTCTATAACTCAGTCGTTCTTTGAGATATTGAGCTGAAATGTAGTATGGTCGTAGCTGAGAGTGAGCTGTTACACCTTCCTGATGCAAATCAAGAATCCAAGATGGCTAACTTAGCTAAAAGGAAAATAATACGATAACTCGGCTGTTTTAAAAGATATTGAATTGAAATTTGGCACCTGATAGCGATGTACAACATTCTGAATTCAAATCAAAAATGTAATATGGCCGCCGAAGCCAATTTCAAATGGATATCACTCATTTTTAGAGCTATTTAGCCGAAATGGGGTGCACTGGTAGCTGAGAGCGAACCTTAATAGAAAGTGGTTGCAAATAAAAAAAATTCAAGATGGCCACCTGAGCTAAAAAGGAAAAATACTGTAAAGCAGCAATTTTTTTAAGAGATATTTAGCTGAAATTTGGAGTGGTGGTAGCTGAGCGCAATGCCCAATAAATACTGAATCCAAATAAAAAATCCAAGATGGCCACCAAAGTTACATTTAAATGGCTTTAACTCAGTTATTTGTACAAACAGAGGTGAAATTTGGTTTGGTTATAGCCGACAACGTTCCCCATCACATACTGAATCCAAATCAAAAATCCAAGCTGGCTAATATGGCTTAAACAAAAAAAATGACTATAGTGTTGATTTTTTGCCATACTGAGCTGAAATTTGGTGTGATGGTAGCAGAGAGCGTATACACACAGTACTGTCAAATCAATTTTTAAAATAGCCACAACATGGTAGTTTATTATATAATGCAAACCACTTTTAATAAATGGTTAATAATGTGTTTACAACTTAATAACTAGGATTATAGCTTGAAAAATGTAGCCTTATGGTAAAATGATGCCCTTAGTTCAATATGGTCATACAGGCTTGTCATTTTCTTTGTATACATAATACATACATAAAATAATTTTTAAAGTACTTATCCAAATTCTAATAGAATTTTACTTTATGAACTATCTGAAATGTAGTTTGTGGATTTAAACTTAAAAACTTCCTTTGTTGAGCCTCATCAATTGATCCTAATGTTTAGAATTTGATGGAAAATTAGAAACAAAGTTGAATAAAATCTTCAAATTTGATCACATATAACTTGATAAACTGACTGTATGCTCTCCTATGATCCCCTCATGTAAAATGCATCCCCCGCTGTTTAAATACAAAGATGTTATTTGTCCAGCTCGTCTACACAACATTTATTTTACAAATGTTTCTTTCGTTCAGATCTGCAGTGCGTCGTCAAAAACAAAACGTGTCAAAAGAGTCTGAATCAAAATGTGAGAGCAGTTTCTCTGTTAATCAGAGATTTAAAGTGAAGTTGACAGAAAAAGTGCAGCACAGAAACAAAATGTCGGCGTTTAATTAGTTGGAAAGAGGAGAGCTAACCTTGTGATGGCGTAGCCACTTATCTGCAGGAACTTGAAGAGCTCCTGGGCTTTCTCTTTGTCTCTGTACTTCTCTTTGGCAGTCAGGGTGTCGTAGGGAACGAGCAGCGGGTGAGCCAGTCCTTCTCCTGCTCACACAAATCCCTAACGTCACCTCCAGTGCATTTCCAAAACAATCGGAGGTTGTTACAACTTTAAAAAAAGCTGATTTTAAATGCATTTTAAATGTAAACACCTTTGCTAAACAGCTCGGATTTCTTCTTCTTAGCCCAGATGTTGTGGTAATTTTCTGCAACCACCTCCATCATGCCCTGCAGAAACAGGAAGCGTCAAGCTCAACACCGCATGGTGATTATTCAACTGAGATCGGAGGAGTAAAGCCAACCTGTAACTCTCGAGACAAAGTGATGTTGTCGAGGTCCATTGGAGCCGGGCTGAAGCCGTTAGTCTACAAAAATCAAAGAGGGAGTCCGAATGAGGAGGAGAGGAGCGTCTCTGAACAACTCACTGTTTTTATTTTTTATTGTTGTTATCAAACAATCATTTTAATAAATCGATCTTCAACTAATCAGGAGGAAAACTGCAGATACTGTGAACAATGAATCACAAAGTATGAGCATCAAGTGAAGCTAAACAGACAAAATAAGAGTTTAAACTTTGTATGTACTTTATTGCATCATCAAATGACCCATGTTAAATTTTTTATGTATTCTTAAAAATAACTAGATGATTTTGTTAATGTAATGTGCACTGAGGTACATTTTTGTTGTGATTACATAAAAAAAAAAAAAAACTTAATTTAACTGAATAGTTAAATAGTAAAACATCCAAATTGAATGGAAAGTGATTGAATTGTCTAAAAATACAAAATGTGATGAAACATGTCTGATTGAATAAATCAGGGTTTAACCTGAGTCAGCGAGAGCTTTCGTTGTTTTTCGCTCTCGCGCTGTTGGAACATGGCCTCGCCCTCTTTGGTTCTCTCGATGTTCCAGTTCATGGCCAACATGCTCTTCAAAGACTCCCTCACAGGCCAGCGGTACGTTTCTCTCTCCTGAAAATTAAACACTCACACGTGAGATAAAATTAAAAAAAAAAACTTATCCCCGTTTACCAACCAGCTGTCTCATTTCAACACAGATAAAATTATGTAAAACCAAAAAAACAAACAACATCTAATTACAAGTTTAAGTTAATTTAGTACCAATGTGTTCAACATAATGGTACTTCCTCCAGTTATTTAACAATCAACGATGGTGTACCACAAGGCTCAGTCTTAGGACCCACCCTCTTTACAATCTACAAACGTAATGTAGGTAAAAACATCCCTAATGCATCCATACATTTCTATGCTGATGACACAGTTGTTTATTGTCGAGCTAAAACTGTTGCTAAGGCTTTCCAGCTTTTGAAATCTGCATTCAACAATGTCCAGACAGATTTGTTCCACCTCAAACTTGTCCTAAATGCCAACAAAACCAAAGGGATGCTTTTTTCAAACAGGAAGTTGGTCCCAGCAGTTCTTCCACTGATTTTATCCTCAAATGGTGTCCCTATTGAGTTTGTTGATTCCTATAAATATTTGGGTATCTTGGTCGACTCACATCTCTCTTTTAAGCTCCATGTGGAAAACTTGGTAAAGAAACTGAAAGTTGAACTGGGTTTCTTTTTCAGAAATAGATCCTGTCTAACCCTGAATGTTAGGAAACGCCTTGAATCTGTGACCTTTCGTCCCTCCATTGATTACAGTGACATTATTTACATGAACGCTCCTACAAGAACCCTGCAGATGTTGGATGCTGTCTATCATGGTGCACTAAGATTCATAACTGGCTGTGATTATCGTACCCACCACTGCACCCTGTATTCACTGGTTAACTGGACATCATTAACTTCACGCAGACTCTCTCACTGGTACATTTTCATCTTTAAATCACTTCTTGGTCTGCTGCCTTCATACATCTCCTCCTACATGTCTCTGCGTGAGTGCTGCTACGGAGTGCGCTCTCAGGACATTATTACCTGCAGTGTTCCCTCAGTGCAAACTGAACTAGGCAAAAGGGCCTTCTCCTACTCCGCTCCCGATTCCTGGAATATCTTACAAAAAGATTTGAAGCTCTCGACCTTGACCTCTCTAAGTGGCTTTAAGAATCTGTTGGACTCCTGGCAGGGACCAATGCAGACATGTTCCTGTTTTTATAGTTTTCTACATTTGCCTGTTTTTTAGCTTTTTTTGTTACTTTTTTTAGCCATCTTATTTGTAAAAATAACAACAAAAAAAAACCAATTTGTATGACTTTTTATAACTGTTTATTGTTGCTGTTGCCCATTGTTGTCATCATTCTTTGTTGAAATCAGGTCTCTCTTGTAAATGAGTCCTCGAGGCTCAATGGGATTTACCTGTCTAAATAAAAGTTGAATGGATTTCAATTTACATAAAAAAAACTGAGGAAACCTCAAATTAACTGAATAAAAAAAATGCACTTTGAGCCCGGGTTAGGATAGAATATCACAGTATGGCAGAAAAAGGGTCCAGATGACACAATTTATTCTTTTCTGTCGTTATCTACCTGGATGATTGAGCTTACAACTTTTTTCTGAACCACTTTGGCCTCGATTGTCCTCAGGTTGTTTCTGTGAGTAGCAAGTTGGACATCTGGCCTAAAACATGCGATTCTTGTACAAGATGATTGATTGTTTTGGATGTGTGTTCTGTTTGCACGTGCTGAAAGCCTACTTTTCAGATTCAAACAGAAGTTTGGCTTAAAACACAGCAGTGAAGGTTCCCTATGGGACAGATCTGGTTGGCAGGCCATAGACTGAGGAAGTCCTCTGGATGAGGGACGAAATGTTTCTCGCATAAAGAAACGGGTCCAGATGGCATGACTGAACTTTTTTTGTTTTTCTACACCCGATTGTTTTGGGAATCCCTTTTTTCCGTGAAAGTCCGTCAGAAAACTGAAGCTGTTGTTAAAGCAGGAAATAGCAACAAACTCATTTTTTAAATCAAAACGTTCAGCTCGTTTTCTCTTTTACTACTTATTTCATTTTCCTTCTATAAAACAAAACATCTGACAGAGAATCCTTCGTTTAGTTTAAGCCGGAGTTAGTCCTTCCCTCCCGTCAGCAGCTGGTTGTGTCACCGTGCTCATACCTTCTCGCTCAAAGATTTGTACGGCTTCAGCAGTGGATGAGTTTTGCCCTGTTCATCCACACCGTCTCCGTGTTTCCAACCAGCTGACATCTGCACAAACAGTCCATCAGATTTATATTCTGCTCAATGCTTCCAAGCGTTTCAACATCCAGGAAATCGAAATTCAGCAAGGATAAAATAGTTGCTTGAGAATGTGGACTAACCTTCTCTGAGGCCCACTTGTCGTGGGAATGCTCGGCATACTTGTTAGCAACGTACTCGAGTTTTTCAGGAAGGGAAATACTGGAAAAATAGATGGTGTTCAACAGAACAATTGAAAATGAAAGATTTTAAATAAATCAGTGCACAAAATAAACATCACAAACACAGGTATGGACTCACTTGGCAGTGTTGATGGGTTTGGGTTCAAAGTTGCCCTGCGCGTCCACTGATTCCTGTTTCTCCAGGGCCCCTGAGCTGGTGTCTATGAAGTCCGGAGGCAGAGCTCCAGCGATGGCACACAGGCAGGACTTGGCCATTTTGAAAAGTTCAGAATCATACTTCTGCCGGATCAAAAGATAGAAAGCAGGTTTACAAACAAGTTTTTTACCTTTTTCTTTGGATTTTAAGAAGAAATATCTATCTTCAGTGAACAAGTAAGACATAAAATAGAGCTGGGAAAGTTCACGCCAACAAAAACCACCTGACAGAGACTGATGATTCATAACAAGAACCTCTCACTCAGGAGAGCAGCAAGAGAAGAAAACGTCAGATTACTGAGAAACAAAACACAAACACTAAAAAGGTTTGACGAGAGGAGCTTCTTACGGAGCGCTGCTCTGACTCCTGACGTTCTCAGAATGACAGAAAACGCAACAAAAAAACAAACGTACAGAAGACAGACAGCTGCTGCAACTTCTGGATTTATTCACACCGTTGTTGTTCGTCTGAAACGCCACACATGAAGTAAGAGATCAAGTTACGACTGACCCGTTGCTCAAAGGATTAGTTCTCCAAAATCATCCTGTCCAACACAAAACCCTCATGCACACGTTTTGTTCCTGAACTTTTATCGTGTGATTGCCGACATCATTCACACACACACACAAAACTAGCCTTTTGCTTATTTTAGCTTTTAGTAATCTATTTTTTTAGCCAGCATTTTGCTACAATTAACATGTTTTACTATTTAGGCTTCTAGTGTTTTGCTTCTTTCAGCTTTTAGCTAGTGTTTTGCTGCTTTTAGCTAGTGCTTTGCTTCTTTGAGCTTTTAGCTAATGGTTTGTTGCTTTTGGCTAATGCTTTGCTGCTTTTAGCTAAAGCTTTGCTGCTTTTAGCTTTTAGCTAATGCTTTGCTGCTTTTAGCTAATTTAGCTTCTTTTAGCTAACATTTAGCTTCTTTTAGCTTATAGCTTTTAGCTAACATTTAGCTTAGTTTAGTTTTCAGCTAATGCTTTGCTGCTTTTAGCTAATTTAGCTTCTTTTAGCTTTTAGCTAACATTTAGCTTATTTTAGCTTTTAGCTAACATTAGCTTCTTTTAGCTTTTAGCTAACATTTAGCTTAGTTTAGCTTTTAGCTAATGTTTTACTGCTTTTAGCTTTTAGCTAGTGTTCTGCTTCTTTTAGCTTTAACAACTCAAAACGTTTTAAGCAAACTTCAGACAAATAATTCGGCACTCACCATTCACACTGCCTTGTATTTATCATTACATATTTGTCTAGTTTGAATTTGTTTTTTTTTACATTTTAGCTGTTTTTCTTTGAAACTACAATCGTTAATTTATGTTTTTGTTTGTTTGTTTGTAATCATGACGTAGTCAGGTAAGCTCAGTTCTGTTGGTACCTTCTGAGAAAGGGAGTCGAAGATTCCCCAGAAGAGTTTCTTAGTGAGAAGAAGTTCCTCCTCCGAGGCCATCCCGAACCCGGCCATCCCTGAAGGAAGGCAGTAGTACTTCCAGTTCTGCTCGTAATGGTTGGTCAGCAGCTGGAGATCACCGGTGAAAGAGAACAAAATCCCACTCATTAACCTAAGTTTTGTCTGAAACCACCTGCTACATTTTGTAAAGAGCATTAAAACACAAACAACAGAAATAGGAGCAGGGGTGCTCAATGCAAAGAGAAGAAGGAACTCAAACGAAGCGTGAAACGTTCGATGTCCGTTATTCTTTGTTATAACTATCCCAAAACATTTTCAGCTCATTAAACAGTTGGTTAAGAAGAAAATGGATTGGTGTCTCACCCGCAGAGGCATCTTGCAGTATTCAGCGAGCATCGGGACATCGAACACCAGCCGTCTGAGCAGCTGCTGCATCATAGAGGGCCGCAGGTGCCTGGGGGGGGGGGGGGTGTGTGCACAAATTACTGCTAAATACTGACGTCTGAAGACAGACAGCATATCACATAAAACAATGATGAACTCATGTGTAACTAGAGAAATTGCATGTACTGTGAAAACAAAGAGAATGCTTATTGCAGAAGAACTTGCTGAAAAAAAGCTGAAATTAGTTCAAAAATACATGCTGAAATGTAGCTGAAATGGAAGGACAAGGCTAAGTTAGCACAGGAGAGCAGAAAGAGCATGTGCTTTATTAGGTTAAAATAGGCTGAAATTACCACAGAAATTAGGAAATCAGCTAAAAAGAGCTGAAATTAGCAAAAATAGCTGAAAAGTAGCTAAAAAAGCAGAAAGAGGAAGGAAATGAAACAAATTAAAATTAGCTAAAAAATGCAGAATTAGCAAAAAAGCTAAAATTAGCAACAAAAAAAAACCAGGTAAATAGTAGCTGAAATAGCAGAAAAGACAAACAAGCAGAAAAAAGCTGAAAGGAGTATAACAAGCTGAAATTGCCATAAAGAAGTTAAGTGGTAGCAAAACAATTACCATGGAAAACTTGAATTTATCTGAAAACAGCTGAAATTAGCTAAAGAAATGCTAAAATTGGAGATGAAAAGGTCGAACAAGCTTAAATTAGCAGAAGAACGCAGAAAGAACACATTTGCTGAAAGAAGCAGAAATGAGTACAAAAAAGTGGAAATTATCTGAAAAAAGCTGAAATTAGCAAAAAAAAAAAATCTAAAAGAAGCTTAAATTACCAGAATGAAGTGGAGAGAGCACATTATTGCCGAATTAGGCTGAAAAAAATTGAAATGAGTGCAAAAAATGTGGAATTAGCAGACAAGGCTGAAATTAGCAGCATAAAAATGTAGTTCGCAAAAAAAAAAAAATCTGAAAGGAGCACAAACAGCTGAAAAAACAGCTGAAATTAGCTGAAAGTAGCTGGAGAAAAAAAAGTTAAATTTGCACAAGGAAGCTGAAAGAAGCTGAAGCAGTACAAAATGAGAAAGGAGCAGTAAAAGGTTGTAAACAGATCTAAAGATTTGAAGGATGTAAAATGAGCTCAATTCATTTTCTATGAAGAAAAAAAGTGGCAGAAAAGGCTAAATATTTTAAAAAGCTAAAGTTGCACCAATACGAAAAGTCACAGCAGGATTGTCCTGAAAGAGCTGAACGTTTTGATTTATGATTTGTTGAAATAGCTTGAAAACTGCAGGACGAGAATTGCGCCATAAAACATACAGAAGAAAAATGGATCACAACAGAGTGAATGCTTCGTAAACATTCACACAATTATGTACATATTTATTACAGCGCTGAAGATGATCTGGGAGCAGTCGGTAATAGAAATCCACTAATGTACCTTCCTTCCAGCTCTTCTGGGGGGCATGTCTACATCTCTAATGTTTTCATCCCACAGAGTGTGAGCAGAGCCTGCGAGGCCTCACCTGCAGATAGCGAGCAGACACTCCTCGATGGCGTCCCGTTGGGCTTTGGTGAGCGAGCGACCTTTGGACAGCCGGTAGATGGTCTCCAGCGTGGAGTCGACCAGCTGAGCGTAGTGCTCCGTGTTGGCGAACAGAGCGGCGCAGCGGGTCAGCAGAGGCAGCAGAGCTGAGCCGATGTAGCGGTTCATGGCCAATGCCGTCTCCGTGGTGCTCAGCACTTCCTGTGGGCCGGAGAATCAAACACACTGAGCAGGAACAGGAGGTGCGGTGCAGTTTGCATGTGTGAGGAAAAATGAGGAGTGATTTTTGGAGAAAAAGTGAAACGCTTTTTCTTATGGTTCCAGCTTTGCTTGTAAAATATTGAGGAGCAAAACACGAACATTTAGGCTGTTACACCCCTTCTAATGTATTTTTTTTTCTTTAGACATACAAAAAGGCCTCAGCACTGAAGTTCTACTTGAATTTGCAACTATTACTTCTAAAACAACATCTTAATTCAATTCCAGAGGACCAGACTAAACTTTTTTAGATTTTTTCTACCTGGATTATTGAGCATGCATCAGGATATCAATTCAGTTCAGTTTATTTATATAGCACCAAGTCACAACAGAAGTCATCTCAGCGCACTGAACAGAAATATTAATATATCGGTATATAAATTGCTGCTTTAAGTTTAACTTCATCTCATAAGCACATTAAAGGTAAAGAGTACTGGTCCAAGCACTGAACCCTGAGGAACTCCATGACTAACTTCTGTGTACGAGGATTCAACATAAGGTACAAAAAAAAAAAAGTCTTATATTTATGAAGAAAAATATAACTAAATGATCTTGTTTGCAAAAAGTAAAAAGACTAGGAGCAGAAAGTGTTCCTCAGAACTCACCGTGTCCAAAGACGCTGAGGCTTTGAGGTCAGGCAGGAAGCCGACCTCCAACATCTGAAGCAGGAAGCTCTGGTCCTCGATGCCGTAAACTCTGTCCAGAAAGAGCACCATGGGGGCCTTGTGGTCCGGACAGAAACAAGCCGACATGTCCGGTTCCGTCACCGAGCCATCTGTAGGTTCAGCACATTTTAAACGTCACAAAATAAGGAACTCAAGTTTTCAGACAATTACAGTGATCGCTTAGAGTTTACAGAAAATTTGGAAGGTAACTGTAACAAGAGGAAGATGGACAGAAACAATAAAAACATATTGAAAACAGATGTGAAAATGAAGGTCTGATAAAAACACACAAAGCACTTATGAAAGAGTAATTTCAAAACAATGAGTGGTAAACTCAAGCAAGTCTAATAAAAACACAGTTTTTCCATAAAACAAAGTTTTCTTATTACAAATCATCAAAGAGAAAACTAAATCATGTTTTTTAATGTTGAGAATAAAAATTTAAGAAAAATGTTACTAAATAATAACTGAAAAGGGTTTTTTGGGGGGGAATAAAAAGTAAAAGAACGCTGAAGAATGGTAGTTTTTTCTTAAAGGGAGAAACATGAAAAATGTAATTTTCTCTAAAACTTCAGTGTGACTGAAGCTGAAATTTCATCCAAATAAATAAAAGAGTAAAAACAAAACAGAACACAAACTGAAATAAAAACATAGGCCATCCAATAATTAAAAGTAACAAAAGAGCAGATAGAAGCTAAAGTAAGAAAAACGGCTACAAATTAAGTGCAGCATAACAGTAACTAGAAGCAAAGAGCTAGCTACAAGTAGCCAAACAATAGCTTAAGACAACAAAATGCTACATAAAAGCTGAAGCAAAATTTTGAGTAAACTTAGCAGAGTGCTAGCTACAAGCAAAAAGTGGTGTAAGGCTAGCTAAACGTTAAAAATAGACATTTATTTACAAACGTGTTTGATTCTGAAGAAGCAATAATTTTTTTAAAATAATTTTCATGTGTGGGGTGGCACGGTGAGGCGGTTAGAGCTGCCGCCTCTCAGCGAGAAGGTCGCTGGATCAAATCTTGGCCTGGGGGCCTTTCTGAGTGGAGTTTGCATGTTCTCTCCGTGCATGCGTGGGTTTTCTCCGGGTACTCCGGTTTCCTCCCACAGACCAAAAACATGCATGTTAGGCTGACTGGTGACTAACTTGTCTCTAGGTGTGAGTGAGAGAGTGAATGGTTGTTAGTCTCGTTTGTCTCCATGTGTCCCCGTGATGGACTGGAGACCTGTCCAGGGTGTCCCCCGCCTCTCACACAATGATAGCTGGACATGGGCACCCGTCTCCCCTCCACCTCTCTGAATATTCATCATCCCATTCGGGTTCATTCATTCCTCTTAATCTGACTTTTCACCCGTTCATCAATTCCTGCAGCAGACGTGCGCACCTTTATTAATCACGGGCATGTTGAGGGGGATGCTGATGATGCCCACCAGGTCTGACGTGGGAACCAGAGAGCGCAGGATGGCTCTGATACGCAGCGCCTCACCTTTACCTGCGTTGATAAGCTGTGGAGAACGTAAAAGGAGAAGATCAGCTTGTATGAAGGAGAAATGTCTTTGTGTTCGTCAGGAAGAGGCTCACATGCATCTCTGGAGCGCAGCGCCCCAGCAGGTCGATGAGGGCCGAGTAGAAGGACATGATGGCGTTTCCCATGTGAATAACTTCTCCCTCCTCCTCTCCAAGCCTGAAACAGGCAGACACCAGCAAGCAACAAATAACCTTTAATTTTTTTTTTTTAAAGAATCCAATATGAGCAGGGGGGAGCAGACTGAGCATCTAACAATGTTTCGACACATTACAAGCTCCTTCCTGTCCACCAAATAAAACGCATCGATTCAAACCAGCTTCCAACGCCTCTCTCCACTTCAGGCCATTCTTGTTTTTCATCATTAAGGTGCAGCAGACGTGTTGTGTGGACGTAAACAAACATCTTTTTAAAAAGCAGCCGAACTCCCAACCATTCAGCCGTGTATACAGATGGTAGTGATGTCCAGTGGGCTTCATCAGAGTCTGATTATTTCATTTTCATCAACCTGTGATTAAAACTAAATTCAAGGTGAATGTGTTTTAAGATTTGAGTGGTAAGGATGGTTTTGCAAAGTGCTGATAATCAACAGTTTCATTATCCTCTCATTTATTTAGCGCTTTGTCTGGATGTTGGGTCTTTTTATGACGCAGCTTTCAATAACAGCTAAATAATTTAACAACGAGTATTTAGGATGCAATTTGAAAACACTTAGCCTGCATTTAAAACTCAAAGCAATAATCTTTGTAATTCTTTCAAAACTTTAGCAGCAATAAAGGTAAATGTGTAAATGTTGATGAAGGACTCACAGTTTTAATGGAAATTTTCACATTTTAATTATTTATTTTGCTCAATCTAATTTGCATACTTTGTGTTATTTTAGCAGCTTGTGTGCTAAAATCTTGAGCTCATTCAGAAGATGGGTGTTATCTCTCTCTCTCTCTCTCATATATATATATATATATATATATATATATATACATACTTTTTGAAATATTTCTCTTTATTCGCAAATATTTTCCTTTAGCAATACGCTGAGATCTTCTCAATTCCTTCAAAAACATTGTTCGCCTTAAAATCTGCTTTAAAATACTTGATTTATTTTTGGTTAATGCTACCTTTAGCCTCTAGTCAACATTCAGTTTCTTTTAGCTTGCAGCTAGCCTTTTGTAAATATTATTAGCTTTTAGATAGTTTTTTGCTACTTTTAACTTTTAGCTGATGATTTAATTAACATATTGCTACTTTAAGAATAACTTTTGCAAATTTTTGCTTTTAGCTTCTTTTAGCTAGGCTTGATACTTTAACTAGTTAAGCAAGCATTTTGCTACATAAAGCAGGTTTAGGGTTAGGTTTTGTTACTTTTTACTTTAAGATAGCTTTTTGCCATTTTTTAGCTTTAGCTACCATTTTGCTACTTTTTACATTAAGCTTGCCTTTTGCCACATTTACATTTTAGCGAGTCTTTTGCTATTTTTAGCCTATAACTAATATTTTGCAGATGTTCGGTAGCATCATGCTGTTTTTAGCTCTTAGATTTGTTCCGTCTTTTCCAGCTTTAACAATTGATTCTGCCTTTTCAGCAAATTTCATCAGTTTTTCAGCTTCATTTCTCTTTTCAGCCTTTAAATAAAAAGACATCAGTTGTTTCAATGAACACATCTGACTAAACTTGTTTAGTAAATTCCTAAATACAAACAACTTCTCAAATTGACCACAAAAAAAACTGAAAACCTTTGGATTGGACCATCATTGCTTCTCAGAAATCATTAGAATCCCTGACACTACAGGGAACTGGCTGTAGGAGTCCGGATCAGGTTCCTACCCTGGAGCGGCTCCAGTGGGGGCCTTCGGCAGGTCCAGAGCTGGATCCTCAGAGATCTTGATTGCCTCCTTCATGGCGGCCAGCAGACCCTGTCCTCCCTCTCCCCTCAGGGCGGGACCAAAACACTCGGGGCGTCGGATCAGCAGCTTCACCACCACGTTGGCGTTTTCCTCCACACTCTCACCTGCAGCACATTAACAAGTTATACGATGTGGAAGAGGAATGGACAGAGTCAGCTCCAGCTCAGTTATCTAGGAGGGGTGTTTTCTCATAAAAGTGCTCAAGTTTTATTTAAGTTTTACTCAAGTTTTATTTCCCTTCTATATATAAATATTAGCACTGTGGTTCCTCAACATCTGACACTATTTTAAAATGTAGAAACAGTCCGTAAGCAAGCTGGCAGACGAACCATTGCAGAAGACGACAAATCTCAGGAAGGACAGGTAGCGCTCTCCTTCTATGGGGTTCCAGCCCAGGTCAGGGTAACCCTTGGCAACAAGCATGGCACAGCTCTGCAGACCGCATCCTGCCAGGTATGTCACCACCTACACACAAACAGTTCTGTCTTTTACTGAACTTCCTAGGATCAGAGCAACATCAGAACATCCATTAAAAGAGTTTACAGGTATTATCAGACTCTTTTTAAATGTGACCAGAGCAGGTTTTAAGTTTTAATCTGTTTTACATTCACCACAATGTGGCACTGAGGAGCCTTACTAACACACTGTGTCACGTGCTGGTGTGCACATTTCTTTTCCTAAGTTGGCATGCAGGAGTAGCAAACCTTCTCCAGATCAGGTTCCTCCAGAGCCAGGGCCAGGCCGTTGTTGTCCATCACCGAAGATGCTGCAACATCCAGAGGAGTGGAGCCCCGCATCGCCTCAGACGCTAAACAAATAAACAAACAAACAAATAGAAGAAAACATGAGTCAGCAGCAAAGCAAACTTCTCACCGAGGCGGCCTGAACGCATCACATCAACATGTGTTGATTGTCTCGATTTCGTTTGCGACACAGGAAGTGGTTGGAAGGTTGTCAAGTGTCCATCCCAAAATAAAACATCCTCCAACTGGACAAACTGGATTTTCTGTTAAAATGCAGCGTGAGTGCCGAGAGCTGAAAGTTTTCATCCCTCCCTCCCTCCCTCCCTCACCATCTATCAATATCTATATCTATACCTATGTCTATCTATCTACAGTATCCATCTATATAGCTATCTATATATCTATTTCTATCAAATTATCTATATCTACAGTATATCTATACCAGAGAGTCAGAGATTTATATGTCCTTCGCATCTCATGTGGTACATGTGATGGAACGAGACTATGTACACAGGGTCCCAGTTAAATCCAACAATAAAATAAGAAAAACAGTGATAAGGTCTAAGATAGGAACTAATAAAAACATCAACTAAATATACACTTAGCACTAATAGCATAAACACATTACGTAGAACAGCAGCACGAACATGAGTCTGTGCGAGCAGATGAGCACGCATGAACACAGCAACATGAAACAGATCAGCAGCAACATGGAACAGATCAGCAGCAACATGGAACAGATCAGCAGCAACATATATCAATCTATATCTATCTTATACATTATATGTAAGAATTTTAACAGTTTATTTTAATTTTAGATCAACCTTTTACAAAAATATTGTCCAAATATACAAGTAGATTTTAATTCTGAACTAATAATCTACGCAAAAATAAAAAGGTGTCTCTGGACCTGTATTATTCCAATCATCAAACATTTTGAGCAAGATTCGAATCAGATGCCTAGATATTAAGGATTTTAGTATTTCTTTAGGGGAAAAACTCAAAAATAGTAGTAAAAATATACTCTATGATCTCAAATGTTTTAAAGTATGAGCTGATTTCTTTAAAAGTTTCAACATATAACTTTATAAAGCCACTGGGTGTCACACTGGAGCTTGAAGAAAAACTCCATGGCGGCTCATTTATGTCTTGAAACAAAGCAGAGCAACTTTTCCTCTACTTTTTATGGGAGGCTTGTTCTCTAAAACTTGTTCAGCAGAGCAAAGAGGAAGGTTAATCACTTCGGCGTGTACGGCAGGGATACACGTGCACCGACGTGAGCAAAAACACAGAGAGGGAAGAGATATGCTCTCTCCTGTAAGAACATCTGTGCACAAATGCATCAAGATAAAAAAATCAACATCTGTTTGCTGCTTTAAAACGTTGATTCTTTAAGACTCAGAAGAAGAACAGCTTCAGGGCATTTTAATACAAAGTTCTGTTTATCTGATGGGTATAAAAACTCCCATTTTATCTAAAATACATCATGTGTAAAATATAAATTTCAGGTACTTTACATACTCATTACTTACATCTAAAACCACAAGTGTGTCTATGAGTTAGATGCACACTACAGATAAATAAATGTATTCATGTTTTGTTGACAGCACATTTGACACCAATAAGTCAATTAAGATGGATAAAGATCTGCCGCTGGTGACAAAATAGGTCCCAAAATGATATTTGTCAATTTTGAGTAAATGCTATTTTCAAATTCTCCATTTGAAAAGCTTATAAACGCCATATAGTTTAATGAAATTTGACGGTTTATCATCTGGCCTGGCAACAACTAGTTTTGTTGAAGAGTGTGCCAGTTTGAATACTTTCATTTTTACTGCTCTGATGCCATCAAAAATTCCAGCACTGTGTTTAAAAAGATGAAACCCCCCCACCCCCACGCCTCACAATGATGCTAAACATTATACAAAGGGACTTCCCACCACTACAGCAGCTGGCAGTGAAAGTTTTAAATTAAATAAAGGGCTAGAATTAAAATGTTTGCAAGTACGAGAGGGATATGATTGCTTTTGGCTCTCTTCTAGCCAGGAGACTTATTTTATGCAGATAGAAGGATCCCCCGGCATATGAACAGTGGATAAGACAAGTTCTATTAATTTGGAAAAGATCAGATATAGACCCTCACTTGTCTCGGGGGTTATGTTCCGAAAATCCGCAAAGTAGGGACGTTATATTTATTTGCAGAGTCGCGTAAGCCAACACAACCCTACAATATCCAGAGCCTTAAGGAACTCCGGGTGAATCTCATCCACCCCTGGGGCCCTGCCACCGAGGAGCTTTTTAACCACCTCGGTGACCTCAGCACCAGAGATTGGAGGGCCCGACCCAGAGTCCCCAGGCTCCGCTTCCTCAGTGGAAGACATGCCGGTGGGATTGAAGAGGTCTTCAAAGTATTCTACCCACCGACCCACGACATCCCGAGTTGAGGTCAGTAGCACACCACCCTTACTATAAACAGTGTTGGTAGTGTACCGCTTTCCCCCCCCGAGACGCCGGATAGTGGACCAGAATTGCCTCGAGCCATGTGGAAGTCATTCTCCATGGCCTCTCCGAACTCCTCCCATGCCCGAGATTTTGCCTCAGCGACCACCCGAGCCGCATGTCGCTTGGACTGCCAGTACCCATCAGCTGCTTCCAGGGTCCCACAGGCCAAAAAGACCCGATAGGACTCTTCCTTCAGCCTGACAGCATCCCTCACCGCCGGTGTCCACCATCGGGTTCGAGGGTTGTCGCCACGACAGGCACGACAACCTTGCGGCTGCACCTCCGGTAAGCTGTCTCGACAATAGAGGCACGGAACATGGCCCACTCGGACTCAATGTCCCCCACCTCCCCGGGAACATGTTTGAAGTTCTCTCCCGGAGGTGGGAGTTAAAGCTCCGTCTCACAGGAGACTCTGCCAGACGTTTCCAGCAAACTCTCAATACGTTTGGGCCTGCCAGGTCTGACCGGTATCCTCCCCCACCATCGGAGCCAACTCACCACCAAGTAGTGATCAGTGGACAGTTTGAGAGAGACATGCTCTGTTAGGAAAATATGGAAGAATAAGATCTCAAATATAAGATGGAGCTAGGATGTTGAGAGCTCTGTAGGTTACAAGTAAGATTTTGAATTAAATTCTGGACTTGGCAGGGAGCCAATGGAGAGAAGCTAAAACTGGAGAGAGATGATCTCTCCTACTAACTCCAGTTAAGACTGGCAGCAGCATTTTGGATCAACTGAAGACTTTTTAAAGAAGTATTTGGACACCCAGATAAACCATTGCAATAGTCCAGTCTAGACGCGACAAATGCATGAACTAGTTTTTCTGCATCATTTTTAGATAAGATGTTTTTTTTTTAATTTTAGCTATATTACACAGGTGGAAGAAGGCAGTTCTAGTAACACTTTTAATGTGGGAGTTGAAAGGCATATCCTGATGAAAAATAACACCAAAATGTTTAACAGAGCTGGAGGCCAGATTAATGCCATCCAAGGAGGGCAAAAGACTGAAAATTTTATTCCTAAGATGCTCAGGCAGGTCGAGAAACCAAAACTCCAGTCTTGTCTGCGTTCAAAAGAGGAAAATTTAGGGTCATCCAGGTTTTTATAGCTTTGTTTTTAGGGAACCTAAAATAGTTTAAAATGTTCAATGAACATTCAACTATAGGTAGAATATATAGTTTTTTTTAAACTAACAAAAATAATAAAGAAAAACATGACTATTGACATGCATTATACAACTAATGTAAAATCTCAAACGTTGTAGAATTTACCCTCAAATATCTGTTTTAGGCTCACAAGTCTTTCCGTTCTTCATGAGACTAGGTATTGTGCGCTACTGTCAAATCACATTTTTATTAATAGTAAATTTACTACAAAAAATGCTTTTTGTTTATGTTTAAAATATCTGGAATCAGATGCTTCTGAAGTGGAACTTGGTTACCTTGGAAGACAAGTGCATCAGTCAAATTTTAGTTACTCATTTCAAAACATTGCTGAACTGGCATGAGCGCAACACGGTAAGAAAGATAATTTTCCTTATGCCATCTATGATCTTTCCTAAGATGCTATTTAAATCTAAAAACTAAAATGAGAAGTCAAACTTACGTATGTATATTTTTGACATTCTAATGTCTAACTGTTCAAAAAGCTTTTCAGAGCTCAAATGAAATTTTACTATGCATTACAATATACAGTATTTCCATGTGTTCCTGTTCTCTGCGGGTTTCACTGTAGATGTTGTTTGGGGTTTTGAGGTGACTTCTCGTACTGTTTTCTTTTGTCAGATCTGATTTAAAAATGGACTTTCTGGTTGTAGACCTGTACGACACCACCACCATGATTGTAGCAGAGGTAAGTCCCTGTAAATTAAAGCAATCCATACCGTCTTTATATTTAAACTGGCTGCTATAAACAAAAAGCACTCAAAACACAAATATTTATTACATATATATACTACTTTTTAATGTCATGCTATAAAGTTGAACTACATTGTTTACATTCAAATGTAAGCTTGTTTACAACAACAAAAAAAGATTTTCTGTTTGTGTCTGCTGCTGCTAAGGTTTAACAGTGCAACCAGTGACCTACTGGTGTTTATAAAAGCTGCTGCAGTAGTTCTTCCGAACAGTTCTTAGAAAGTGATGTCCACATCTCAATGTTTTCCTCAAGTGTCAGTCAGTTGATAAATGTGTAGCTTATATATATATATATATATTCTCAAAATGTCAAATTTTCTTGAACTAGTGTTTATGGTCACCTCTGTTTCTTGTACCATCAAACCAGAACTACACAATCACAGAAGAACCTGAAGACAAGGATAAAGATGGTTTTAGTGAGGAGCAACGAGCCCAGTTGATCCAAACTCCAGACAGACGACCCTGCAGTGACCAGGATGAGGAGGGCTTCAAGGAATTTAGGGATTTAACACAGCATAAACTTAATGATCCTGGTAAAAAAAAATTCATCTGTGACCATTGTGACAAAACATTTAGTCAATCGGGACATCTGAAAATTCATCTGCGTGTCCACACTGGGGAGAAACCTTA